AAAAAAAAAATCACTAAGAATTGATAAAATTAAAAAAGTTAAAAATAAAAATAAAAATCAAATTCTTAAAAAAACTGAAGCAATAAACCCTAAAAATAAACATGATAAAATTAGGAGATGCCCATTGAAGTTTATAAAATAATAATAATAATAATAATAATAATAAATAAATAAAAGATGTATGAGATAAAATGTGAGATGTGATTAGAAAAACAGAGGAAAATATAAAAAAAAAATATAATAAATAAAAGTGTATAAAATTATTATTAAAAATTATAAATATAATATTTTTTCTTTTAAGATAGTATTGTTCATATATAGATATTTATGCGTGTATAATTTTTTTGGAGCAAGACCATCTCATAGAAACAATAGGCATCACCCCTTATTATGCTTTAAAATATTATCTCATAAACTTGTTGACTGATATTTAGTAATTTCAGAAAATAAAATAAAATTTATTTAATTAAAATTTTGAAAAATAAAAAACAGAAATAAAATGTGAAAAAATAAATCAGAAATAAGTAATTATTGTAAAAAGTAACTTTTATTTTAACAAGAATACAAAATATTCACCTTTCTTCATAGATATAGCAAGTAAAACAAAAGTGAATGTTTTACATTTCTGAAAATCAATAATATATGAGGATGTGATATTTTAAAGTTTATTTTTCTAAAAAATAAAGTAAAAAAAATATAAAGATAAATAATATATGGAGTACATTGATTACATAACTAATATCACAATTTTTACTTTTAATGGTTGACGGAAGAAATTATGTATATAAATTATGGGTTTGCTTGAAAGTGCAATCGAAATTCTATCCTACTTCGACTTATGTTGTTGTTTTTTTTAATATTTATTTTGGTTGTTGTCATGATTCTATTTTCTTTTTATTTTTTATGGGATAAAATATATTACGTTATGTTGCAATGTTCGTGGAAACCTCTTTCGTTAAGTTTTTTTTTTTTTAAATAAAAAAAAAATGTTGTGATTGGCGATTGGGTATGTGTACTGTTACTCGCAGCAATGCTACGCGCTTTTCGCTGGTGTATACGCGCTTTTGCAGTTTCGCTTCGCTCGTGTTTACCACCGACACTCTGAGCCAAGTTGGAGAGATTTTTTTTTAAGGTAAATAGGAGAGACTTGATCAAGAAAATGTTTTTATGCTTTTTTTAATAATTTATATTTATTAATATATAAATGGATACTCTCTTTGATAACTATCTTTACTCATATTTGTTAGGTCATTATATCTTTCAATTATTAAAAAAGAAAAAATTAAAAAATTAAAGTAATTATTATTTTATTTTAATAAATATTTATTTAAAAATGATAATAGAGTTCGTAAGAGTGGGAAGTAGGCTATTCATTCTCGCTGTGTCAAATAAAATTCGTTTCCTACTTGTCTCATACTTGTATTGGTATCTGTTATAGGAGTATACTGCGAATTTTATTAATACTTCTAAATATTTATGGATATTGGATTTCGTATAAAAGGTAGAAAATTAAAAAAAAATATTACAAATAAACTTAAATTTATATTTAATTTTAATTCTATAAAATATTAAAGATACATAATTGACATTAATTTTTTAATTTATATATAACATTAATATTTTTGAAATATTAAAAATAATAAAAAGAAACATAAGATAAATATAAATATTTAAGTAATTTTACTTAGCAGGTATCATCATGTTATGATATATGTCTCTATCTTGTTTATTAATTAATAAAAAAGTATCTGTACATATTATTCATTAATATTTATTTAGGTTAGCAATTTATTATTTATGAAAAAATTTATCCATCAATACTCACGAATTTCACTTTTTTATTATTATTATTTTTTTATTCTTTAAAATAAATATTAAGAGCCATAAAATATTTTTTATTCCTAATATTAATAAAATTACTAGAATCGGTCTGATAATAAAAATTATTCTTTTTTCTATATATAAAATCTTGAGTTTGAACTGAATTTTTGTCGTAATTTTTATGAACAACAAATTAACTCACTATTACTCTCATTTCTCGGTTACGGGCTTACGGTGTGGCTAATAATTTTACTAAGAAAGAGTTTGCTCTAGTTATTTTTATAAGCCTTCATTTAAATGATTTATTGTATTAATTGGTTTATATACAAAAGTCCTTAGTAATTTTTTCTTTGTCAAAAATCATAAATGATACATTAATTAATTTTCTGGACTCTCTTGAGTATGATGGGTATGAGAGAAACTTATTAGTCAAAAAGTCATTACTTGAATATAAATGAACTAATTAGTGGGGAAAATTAGAAAAATGATATCTTAATTATTTTACATATAGTTTTGGGAAAATGTATATAAAATATTAACAAATATAAAATTATTATCCAAATTAGTTAAAATTTTAAACTTTTGACAGCAATGTATAGGTCAAGAGATAGTATTTACATTTAAGTTTAATTGTATTTTTATTTTGCAAAAATAATAATTGTGTAATTTTAGTATGACATATTTTAATTATGCTAATTGAATCCTTTAATTTTGTCCCGTTTTTATAATCAAGTTCCATAATTGTGTTGATTAGGTTGTAACACCCCAAGTTACCATGATAAAGGAGGAAAGATCTCGACTTAAAGAGAAGATCATGTATTGCTAAAAGTAATTTTTTGGGTCAGTGTTAGTAGAGTATTCAAGTCTCATAAGCTTACTCTAAGATTCATTAGTCCTTCCAAAATTCTTTAACCCAAAAGTTATGGTTGGGTTAGGGAGCTATTCAAAGGAGGTTAAGTTATCAGTTTTCCCCTTCATGTCTTTACATATTATACGCTTCTTTTTTCTCTCTCAAAGGTTAGAGACACTTAGAAAAAACATCAAAGCTACAAGAAGGAACCACGCCCTAAAGATCCTTTGCCTTTGTTAAGTGCTTATTTAGGTAAGGAGGTGAGCTATCTCGCTCATGGGTGTAGGATTATTGTTGGGTAGTGGGATTTGATAAACTTTTAGTAGTTTGGCTTTGATTTACTAAAGTTTAATGTGAATTGTGCACTGAGATGTTGTATTAATTATTTGGAACTGAATCTTGAGTTCCTATAGAGAACCTTAGATTACTATAGAAACCCCAATTTATAAAGCTAGTTTGGAGATTGATTGATATAATTAATAGTTACGCAATTGGTGTGTTTATTGGGTAATTAATGGTACAAACATTAGGCTTCCATCACTACAACACAAAATAGTTTTTAGTAACATTTAAAAAATGTTACTTAATGATGTATAAATGTAACTAATTTGCTTTAGCAACATGTTATCAAATGTTGTATATAGTCCATGTTGCTAAAGACTTTTAATAACATTTTTATATAATTAGGCAACATTTTTTAAATGTTAGCAAAGTATTATTTTTGTAACATTTTAATGATGTTGCCAATATTTTGTTAATTTTATAAAATGATAATTAATTTTAATTTAGATATATTATTATCAATTATTATATTTTTATGCCTCTTAAACTCCTTGGAGTTCTTTGAGAGAACATTAAAGACATTCTTAATTAGTTACCACTAATTATATATAAAATATCAAATTTCATTTATCTAAGTATAACTATATGGTTATATATACTTTTTATGAGTCATTAATCTATTCAATGTGGGACTTTAATTATGGGTAACAATTAGAGGTAAGAGAAATATACTTTTTTTTACTCGATGTGGGATTTTGATTTTATAAGCAATTATAGTAACATTTTTCAAAAAAAATGTTGCAAAATAACCTATGTGAAATTTTTTTACTCGATATGGGACTTTGATTTTGAAAACAATTAGAAAGAATAGTATTGAAATAAGAAGTGCTACTTGATCTATAATGACATATTTCAAAAAAGTGTTGCAAAATAACCTATTTAGTTAATATATAGTAACATTTTAACAAATGTAAATAAGAAAATGTTGTTAAAGAATCAAAATCTAGTAGTGCATTGATGATTTAGCCAATTTGATTGAAAAACAAGTGAGAAACCCCAACTTGTACAATTT